ACGGCAGCTTCGGCTCTGGAGGGCACCACTCCCATGCAGTCACCTGAGCTGCCCCCTCACAGTCGGTGCAGCCGGGCTGCACAGGCAGTCCCGTGTGGATTTGTTCCTGGAGGAACTGAACAGCAATGAACAGGGTGATTCAAAGGCCATCTAGAATAATAGAACCGTTTTGGTTAGAAGAAACCTTTAAGATCGTCAAGTGCAATCTCTAAGTGCAATTAAGTGCAAATCACTGTCAGGTCACCACTGACCCATGTCCCTCAGCACCACATCTCCATGCCTTTGAAACCTCTCCAGGCATGGGGACCCCATAACTGCCCTAGGCAACCCACTCCAGGGCATAACAATCCTTTTGGAGAAGAAATTGTTATTAAATTGCAAGGATAGAGTGGTCTTCTGACTCCTGGTTGGATGGAAAATCCATATATACATTTTTTCTGCTTCCTCAGGTTGTAGAAAATCTAGAAAAGACCTAATTGGTGACTGACATATCAGCTCCTTTGAGATGCTGGAACATTTCAGCAGAAAGACTAAGGCAGAAAGACTCATTCCAGGTCTCCAGAGGCACTAATTTCAGCCACAATACTGGATTCTTCCCTCAGGCACAGTGATCCCACACCAGACACCGGAATCATTACCAGCAGCAGGGCTTTAACTCCAGAGCTGTCAAGGAGGAACTCATTTATCACCCACCAGGGCACTGCCAGGTGGTAATGGCCCTGAGCAGCCTCAGCTGGGATCTGCTCCACACCCTCTGCTCCTGGGCCCGGGGGGCTTCGTTGCAGCTGGATGCAGGGTTGTGGTTCCTGTTTGACTCCAGCTCCAGCAGCGTTACACCTGGATCTGTGCCTGGTTGGAGTTCCTCGGGATGAAGGTAGACTGTTTCTTGTTGCAGATGTGCTTCTTGAGCCTGTTTGTGCACTGATGGATTGGGTTTTGCCTCTTTTATGGTAGCTGCTTCTGCAAAGTGAAACTTTCTGCTGTTTTCATGCCTGTTTTGATACTTGGGTTCTTGTGCTTCTTAAAAGTTGATTGCTGGAGCAGACAATGTTTTCGCTGTAGGACAAAACCCTGTTGCTTCCGCACCACAGAGAAGTGAGATTTGGGCAAAATGTAAATCTAAGCAGCCTTGGTGTAATTTTCATTCAGATTCAGGGTGCTCTAGATTGAGAGATCTGAAACTGCTCCAAACACTCTGGTACAAAAGCAGAAGCGGCTTCCTTCTTGGAGAGGGCAAGAGGAACATTTGGAGGGTGGTTCTCAGTGTGTTTGTAGGAGGGGCTGTGTGGACTCGGGTTTAGTGAACTTGGTTTTGGGTGCACGGGAATTGCAACTTGACGTCCAAAATCCACTCGGTATTACTGGCTTGTTAAGGTGATTAAAGTGGATTTCTCTCTCAGATGGCTCTCCTCGAGTGTCTCCCTGAGCTCAGTAAGCTTTAACGCTCGTTATCTGATCACATCTTAGTTCTGGCAGAAATCAGTGTTTGTACCAGAGGGATAAGGAAACTGTGCTAGAGAGAAAGGAAGTGACCTACTTAAAGTAACAGAGAAGGAGCTGTCTGGGGACACGGTTTAGCCAAGGACTTGGTGAGGTTAGCAGCTGGACTTGATGGTCTGAAGTGTCTCTTCAAACTGAAGCAATTTTGTGATTCTGTGAGTGGGAGAGGAGAGGGAAACCCAACGTAAGCCAGAAGCTTGGTCTCCATGGCACTCACAGGTGCTGCTTCCCCCAGCCCAAGGACAGCCTCTGGGGTCTGCACAGGGACCCTGCCCTGCTCCCAGTCCCCCTTCCCTTTCCCCGGGGGCTGGGTGAGGGACAGAGCCCGAGAGTCACCCTGTCCTAGCTGAGGAACCCAGGAGCACCCCTCGGCTGACTGGCTGGGAGGGAAACCTGGCAGCACCTCCTGTACTTTGTGGAGACTGGGATGAGGAAGGGGTGGGAAAAAAGCCCCGAGGGCACTGGGATCCAGGGGAGAGTCCTCTCCCCAGAGCTGCTTTGCTTGGATGTGGCTCTGCTGGTACTGGCTGATTCCTTCCCTGTAGCTCCTCTGTGCCATACACAAGGCTGGGCATGGTTCACAGACTTGGAGGTTCCTATTTCCCAGGTCCTTCCGAGCCTGACAGGTGGCTTTCACTTTGTGTAGTGTGACAATGACAAATCTGTCAGGCAAAAGTGACACTCCCTGGCAGCTGGATGCTGCTGCCTCAGCTCTCAGTTCTCAGATCAAACACTTGCAACAGTGCCCTCTTCACTCAGCACTATGCATTGGTATTATTTAGCCACTATTTTGGATGCAGTAAAAATTCCCCCACATTGGTAGTGGGGACACAGTAACAAAAATTAACACACAAAAAACCTCTCCTAACCAAAAAGAAACCCCCTTCTCTCAACCAAGAAAAAAAACCCATCATTAACAAAAAAAACTGATCTCCACCAAAAAAAAAAGTCCAAACAACCCCACGCTATTATGCACCCTCACAAAATTAACAGGAAAATGCTGTTAACCTGAAAAATATACATTAAAAAAACAACAAATAAAGGTATTTTACTGGCTGCAGTAATGATGCTGCAGTGGAGGCTGTGCCTGATCTTTTACGATTGTTGTGGTTTGAGGCTTGGAATGGGGGCGTGACCTTCCAGCAACTGGGAGGACCCCGGGTGGGGGTGAACCAATTGTATTCCCTCCCCTTCCCACACACACTCTGATAAGAGGCAGGGAGTGGGTTCTAATTTCACTCCTGCCTTGGAGCTCAGAGAGGAAAGTTCTCCTTTCACTCCGTGGGACCCTGAAACCATTTCTGAGGGTTTTGTATATTTTATCTTTTGTATTATTCCCCTGATCTTTATATATATTATTTTCCTTACCTCCCTTTTTCGTTTTCTGTTCCTTGTTGAACAATATACTTCATTTCTTTTTAAAAAGTGTCTCTCTCTCTCTCTCGAGGGGGTGGGGGAGAGGCGAGTACATAGTTCTGTTCCGTGTGGGTCCTGCCCTGAACCCCTTTTTACACGGAACCAGGACAACGATTCACCTGGCTAGCGTTGTATTGAGACCTGTAGCTTTGGTTTTGACTATATCCATCTTAAGAAACAAAATCAGTCTTAATTAAAAGATATCTAGAGGATCTACTGACTCCCCAGAGAGATTATGCCAGTAGTTAATCATCCTTGTTATTAGACATGTATTCTAATTTTGGTGTGCCTGGCTGCAGCTTCCAGGCGTCGGCTCCTACGACGTGGTTTTGCACAACGTGCTGAAGAACTTGCAGCACTTTGTGTTGTCTGCCCAGGGAGCTGAGTCTTCTCCACGATCAGGTTCTGTGAGCACTGCACTGGCAGAGGCTGTCCCCAGCTCTGGGTTCTGAGGTGGTTTTTCTGTCCCACCCAGGATGGCACCTGGGCTGCGAGCACTGGTGTGGAGCTGCACTGACAGTGTCAAAGCTGAACTGACCTTTACCTCCCGCCTTCCTCTTTAGAGTCTAGCACTGCCTTGTGCCCCAGCCTTCTTCCCAGTTGCTTCGTGGTTGTGCTCTGTGTCTTGTTTCCAAACACAAGGTCCAGGCTGGCTTTAATGAAGAGAAACTGAGGCATTTAGTGCATGCCTGTGAAACGATTACCATTCATCCTGGGTACCAAATAAGACTTACAAGGGGAAGAGCAGCAGTGTGTTGTGTGAAGGCTGCGGGTCTGTGAGACTTAAACCCAGCTGGGGGTATGGACCTGCTCCAGCAATACAGTCAGACCAACCTTAACTGAGCAGGAAGGGACTCTGTAGTCTGTTCCAGAACCTGTTTCATGAAGTAGCCAGTGGTTGTAGCTCCCTGTGGACTGAGGTGGAGGAGAAGACTTCCCCCAGTCATTATTTCTGGAAAGTGTATGCTCATTATACTAGAGAAAAACATCTTCTCCCTGCCTGTTGTACTCGAGAGTTTACAGAAAATGGAGCATGTTGCTGAGTCAGAACAGTGAGGCAACCAATGAATCCTGAGGAATTAAAGGTACAAACATGTCTGTGGTATACACTGACATGCCTCAGTGCAAAGGCAAGTACAGGTTGTGGCATACAATAACAATATATAAAGTGTATATATATACACCCCCCCCAATGTATATATTACCTATATATGTATATTAGTGTCTGGGTGGACGAGCTGCAGAGCCCCTCTGTCATGTGGTAATAAACCACTTCCTGCTCCCAAAACTCTTGTATTCCCAAGGGTTTACTTTGGATTGCATGACAACTGAATTTTCTGCTATTTCATAAAGCAGACAAGAAACTTATGATATAAAATAATTTTCTACCCAGCAATGTAAAAACCTAATG